TATATTCTTGTGAATGCTAGTTTTGGTCATGCTGTCTGATGAGTGTTTTACACATAACTCGCCGGAAAAGAAATTGGTTGAGACATTGCTGTGTGATACATGTACATGTACATCCTTCAAAGCAGTGAACCCCTTGATAGGCGACAAGCCTCTGGGTCATCCTAATAAAGATATTATTATTATTATTACCATCATTGTACTACTGGTCACGCTTCTATAAATGGTCACGGCTCTACCTATGGTCACCACATCTCTGTTCAGTGTACAGTCGACATGGTGCACCGCTCTACAGGGTCACGAGCTGCGCCCTTTGTAGTCCCCTATGTCTTGATGTTGTTGTTGTTGTTCTCTTCAATTCTATATGTAGGCATGTGCACTTTCATAAAAATATTAAAAATATAATAAAAAGCTGATAGTCATGATGGTGCTGCAGTATGAACCAGGGATGGCTCCCTGGTATGAACATGGTAACCATAAAAAAAATGTTTACGGGCAATCACAGAACATGATTTCACTGGCCTGACCGCGGCAACAACTGCAAAGCAAAACAAAACAAAATATTTATCTGCACACAATGACAACTCCATTTTTCAGATACCGGTAGTCTCTGCTGATCAGTCGGTATCCGTTACCCGTGTTAGCTAGTTGCCAACAAGGTCACCATGAATTGAGCAGTCGTTTTGACTCGTTGCTTTCAGTTTGACTGGTTTTCTTTCTTGTTGTCTGAGCCTGGTGTGCTTGCAGTTGTACTTGCAGTTTATGAAATTGAAGCACTTATTCTATTATCACTGCTATATTAAAGGTTGATCTGTTTGTAGAATGCAGTTTGAAGATGAAACAGGGCAATAGAGTTGGAAAGTCCACACGGCGTACTTCAAAAACTAAAAATCGAAATATCAAACAAAGAGTCTCATAGATCATGTTGCAGCACATGGTTTGTGTGAAGTTACTATTTTAGTTTGCAAGAATTTATTTCATTTTGTTCGCCATGTATAAGCACATTGTTTGCATGAACTGACTGTTCAATTATTTTTGCAAGAATTTATCCCAATTGTTGGTTTTTTTAGACATGTTGCAGCAAGGTTTTACGGTTCAGTTTTTCAATGAACTGCTTTCCTCTTTTCCCTTGTTGATCGATTGTTGTGATCATATTTAAACAAAATGGATGGCAGGCGACCATATACATGTATAGAGTGACCATGTATATGTACATGACTGTATATGCTGCCCGCCATAATGCTTGTGATAGGGTCCGGCGGATTCTGCCGGCAGAAAATTGGCAGAATTCGGTACGTTTTCTGGTAAGTTTCATGCATGTTTGGTATTTGGATAAAAAAAATGGAGCAGAATTCGAGGAATTGCCCGCCATAAGGTTTGTATGGTTCTGCCAATTTCACTGCTTTTCGAGCAGAATTTGCCACCTTTTCGAGGAGAAGCCGCCGGTCCCTAGCTTGTGAACACAATCATATAGAGAGACCACGTATAGTGGTCTCTGAACAACTTCACCATACATGTATATAGAGCGATGACCACATACAGAGGATCGCTGGGCTACCGAGTCCTTCATCTAAAACCCACCAAGAACAAAGGGACCGTGGAAGCCACAGAAGGCCCAAACACACAGGAGAATGTACATACTTCAAGTACATGTAACATGTACTTGAAGTATGTGTGGCACATAAAAAGAATATTACTATACATCGGCACTTGGCCGAAGGCAGGAGATTGGAACCCACCAGGCTAGCATCCAGCAACAAAAGGTGAACTTACAAATATCGATCAGGAAAACAAGACCGAAAGAACTCCATTCCCCACCCCGCAGAAGACTTAGAAAACAAGGAAACCGTTATTAACTGTTAGTAGTAACGTTAGTAACAGAGGTCGCAGACGGATATAATTTTAAACGAAGGTAAGATCGCAAGCGTCCACGCACATTTTCACACATCAAGCCAAGAAGATGCTTTTCATTTCGTATCGAACGTGTTCGTTCCCTTCTATTCAAGAATGGTAGAATTGATCAAGTGGGAGAAGACGACTCATATAGCTTAAAGATAATAAGATAACAAGTCCCACCACAAGGTGATAGTTTATCAAGTTCCGAACGACAGAAACTTCAAAGGAATATAAAGATAACAATGACAACAACGTAGTGAGCTAATTTTGCAATAATTGTCCTCTTCGACGAGGAGTAACGCCAAACAACACATGTTCACAAATCTTAATGCACAGGCACACACACACACACACACACACACACACACCAACACAGAAACCCACACACCTCACACACACACAAACATATAAGTATCTTTGTGAAGATAAATCATTCTTCACAGGTTAGAGAGAATTCAAATAAAAAAGTAATACAAAAGGTGTTACCTAGAGTCCATAACCCCCAGAGTGTGCAACGCCACATAAATGTCTGTCACGACTCGTTATCAACATTACGTCATTTTCATGTAGCTGCGCGTGCAGGCCGCGGCATACGCTATATGAAAATGACGTACTAGTAATGTTGAGAACGAGTCGTGACAAGACCCTATCGCGCGTTGCACACTCTTGGTTGTGGACTCTTGGTGTTACCCAACTCTCTCTCTCTCTCTCTCTCTCTCTCTCTCTCTCTCTCTCTCTCTCTCTCTCTCTCTCTCTCTCTCTCTCTCTAGTGAGCGCGCCCGCTCGCCACACACACTCACACGTACACACACCCACACGCGCACACACACACCACCCTACCTACATAATTATCACACTACGCGAATAAACCGTGCATGCACCTACCGACCCAAACGCACACACACGCACCTCTCGGATTCTCCATCGGGCTCTGTCAGTTACGTGCAAGTCTGTGGAAAGCTGGTCTTAGATTTCAGCAGTTCGCCAAAGTTTACACCTTGTGCGTTGCGTTTACAGTCGGGCCAGCCGTACGGTTGCCGAGATAGTGAAGTTTGTATTTGCTCTTTAACGGCTGTGATGTTAGAGTCAATACTGAAATCGGAGAAGTTTGCTCCAGAGAGGCACTGGTTGACAAACATGATAGCATCATCCCACATCAGGTCATTGCGCGGATACTTGTAGTTATGCACCTGCGTCTTGCGATCGACCACTATTTCATTGTAACTGGCACAGTATTCAGGGCCAATAACCGAGATGTACATGTTTAGAATGTAAGCAGACAGCCACCAATTCGTTTTATCGAAGTGTGTGGTGTATGGCTCCAGAAAGCGATTTGCTGAGCGATGATACGCCATTACCAAGTTGTCCGCCTGACATCGGCTCTGGCAACGCAGATTTTTCTTGTTCCAGTCAAATTCGTTGAAGCTGACCCCCGCTTTCATGGGCCGATCTCGGAGAAGCACTTCGTTGAACTTGTGCAATGCTGTGTCGTCATTGGGGAAATCCAACACAACTTTCGTGGGGTTCTCCGGCGTGCGATACCCCAGTAATACGTCCTCGTCAAAAAAGACGAAATACTCAAAGCGCCATTTCTGCTCAAGTTCCCACTGATGTCCAAGCTTTGCCATGTGGTTACGCGACGAAGTCCATGTCGACTTAGCATAGAATACGTATCGAAACGTTTCCGAGACGTGCCCCTGGAGCTGTACAGTCACGTCAGATTTCCAGCTTACGTAGAGCAGGTTTACGTCTGGCCAGCTCGCTCGATTCAACCACCGTTTCTGAGGCTCACCCTCGCCTAATACCATATAGATGAAGGTGCCCAGACGAATCCCCGTCTTCTCATCCACAAGCACAGTGGGAGTTGTGATGATTTTCTTCTTTGGTGCAGCTGATGAAGAGGCAGAGGCAGAGGCAGAGGTGATTGACAGGGTCTGGTTATATCTCTGTGTCACGGCATGTGCTGGCTTTGATGTAACTACAGGAGTACTTCGGAGAGAGGTACTGCCATGCACTGTGGTCTTCGCTACTGATCTGGCTCGCTGAGGCGTGCTTCGGACTGCTGACGATGCGCTGTGGGTACTGGCGCTGGCGAATATTGTAGTCGTCACTTCTAATTTGGATCGCTGCGGCTTGCTCTGGACTGCTGACGTTGCGCTGCGAGTTGTGGCCGGCTGCAGTGCGGAGTGTTCCACCTGTTGGCTGGTAGGTGACTTCAAGACCTCTCGCTGCTGCTGCCGCTGCCGATATTCCTCTTTTAGTCGACTCACCACCCGGTCCTCCACCCCTTTGCCAAGCAATGTGCTGGGAGAAAGTGCTCTCCAGCTAAGTGCACTCACCACGCAAAGCACGAAAATAGCGGCTTTGTAATTGAAATGGCATTTACACAGATTCCGAAATGGTTGCATGATCATTCTGGATCAGTTGGGCCGCAAGTAGGAACGACTGCCGGTAATCTGCTGGGACTGCAATACTAGTTCAAACAAAATACAGAAAAGAACAAGAATAATGAATGATTTGTTTTACACGCCTCATTATTGATTTTTTGGTCATGTTTGCTGCGCGCAGCCTTTTTTCATTCAATCTTCGGATCAGAATCAGATTATCCGGCCGGCAGTCCAGTCCATGCTCGGCATCGCACTTCGCAGCATAGTAGCTGCATACATTGTACTGATGTAGCGAGCTAGCTAGCCTGTAGTGCTGTACACAGTCAGTGTCACTTTACTGTGTAGATCTACTTTGTAGTCTGTAGACTCGTGTACTACAGACTACAGACTCAGTAGCACTAGTCTACTCATGCGCTGGCGTGGACATGGAAATCCAGTCGAATGACCACTGGCACTGATGACTGGGGCCGGCCCGGCCTGGTCAGCGTGCACAGAACGAGAGAAGGTCGGCATTTCATGCATGCAGATCACATGACTGACAAACTGTCTGTTGTGTTGATCCGATGCGACCAGCGCGCTGCACTGCAGTCTGCAGCATGTGTGTAGATCTACGGCAAGTCAAGGCGCTAGGCTGCATGTCCAGCACCCTGCGACCGCTAGACGTGCGACGGGATTTCCATGTCCACTACTACAAAGTCATGTACTCTAATAGACCGATCCCCTTATTATACTGGGTTCGAGCACGGGGGCAACCTCACTCGCGATCGAGCTAGTTTTTGAACGTGACAGCATCTTTGACAGTGTGTTTCAGGTTTGTTTTGGAATGTCTTCTGCTTAGTTCAAGTGGTTTGCGATGGCTTCGAGCGGTGCTGAACCTCCTGCTGGTAGGAGCAGAGTCTTCGAGAGAGACATGGACTGTGATGCAGCTGCAGGATTTTTTCAAGGCGCGGGAGAGAACGATCTCGGGCCACAAACAGGAGTTACTCCAGAGGTGAGTTTTTTTGTTGTTGGTATTATTCGAATCGCGAATCGTGTTGTGAGATTTATTTTGTGCCTAGGCTACAGCAGACCGTATTTCTTTCTCCTTGAGATCGGTGCTGAAGATAATAGTAACCTTTTTCTGGTCTGCCTTTTCCTCTCCAGAGCCATCTTCTATGAAGGTAACCGTGGTGCTGCGAAGTCACCAAGTCGCGATCGCGATCAGCAGCCCTGAAGTGGAAAAATCGATTTTCCAACGATCTGGTTGGACATCAGCCACTAAAGTACTTCTGATTTGCCTGTAGTGACAACAGCAGCCATCCTTGGACACCTTGCAAAGACAGGAAAAGCCACTGGTGGAAGCGACTGCTATGAGGTGACGATAGCAGTGGTGATCGCTGTTTTGTCAAGTCGAAGGGCTAGCCAACCCAGAGGAAGCATAAAAAAAAAACGATGAGCAGTGCGTGGTATTTGTTGAGCGTGAAGAGCTAGAGGAGGACAGTGCAAACACATGGAAGGAGTGGATGGTGTTTGAAGTGCTGTGTGCCGGCTGGTGGTGATGGTGGTCTTTGTAAGCATGTATTCGTGCTGCTTCTTGTGCTGGAACACTTCTCGCCCAGGAAGGCAGATTGCGTGCTCCCTGGCCCGCAGTCGGCAATGGGGCATTTGTTCCAGGAACATTACCCCAGAACATTACCCCACACCAGCACAGCAAGGACACTTCCGTTGACAGATATTGTTTACGCCTCAAGACAGCTGTTTCGTTTCTTCGAGCTCATCGTTAGAGGAGGATAGTAGCAGGATATTAATGATGATATAATATAAGATGATAGACGGTTTATGGTCCGATATTGATGATTGGAGATCTAAGAAAGCAATGACAGTGATTGCGAAATGGATAATATTATCATGATTATATGCCAGTCTGGTAATGCGTTGTACTGGTGGACAGTATTGAAATCATCACTGCATTCGATGCAAATATTGGTATACCTTGGTTTCAGTATTGGAAAAAAAGAGTAAGAGAACCTGGTTGATTTGGTTGCATCTGCGACTGGCTACTGGGTGTTGTGATCAGCAATGTTACCATGGGAGAAAATACGAGCGCAAGGATCTGTTGGGTCTTGTTGTGCCGTGCCGGTGCGAGAACCCTAAGTGCATGGCAAAATAGAACTGTTTCATCCACAATGCAGAATATCTTGCGGTGCATGGCATCGATGACTGAACATCTCGCCAGCTCGCCCAAATGGGGATCATGCCCAAACGGAGGAACAAGACATCTTTCCAGCTCAGCTAGCTATATACCGTGAAACGGATGATTAACTTGTGCCACGCATGCCAGCTTCTGTTCCATTCGGCCCAGGCTTAGACACATCAATGCCAATAGCAGCTGATCCTCCATTACATGCTCATTGGCGATTTACGGCCACCTCCAACTGTATCCGCCGTCCCTCAGTTTCCGTCTTCGCAGATCTGGCGCGGCGCAGTACATTTTCTCGGCTAGGCTCAAAGGAGTCCCACAGAGCAGTCCAAACACCTGAAGGCAAACCAGTCAGAAACTGGAGCGGCTCAGAGTCTTTCTTTATGTTACTGTACGTAAGCTGTTTTTCGGCTTTCTTCACCCCAGTCCTCACATCGTCCAACTGCTCCACGAGACTCTGTACACGAGCTCTACTTGCTGCCAGCTCCTGATGCAGATGCTGCACTTCCATTACAGGACCAAACTGCACTAAGCCAGCTTCCTTTCCAACTCAAAGTACCGTTGCCTCTCAGCAAAATACTGGTTTGGGAGCATGGGGAGCTCGTGATGCAGACGCTGCACTTCCATGACCGAACTGCACTAGGCTCAGCAAATACTGTTTTGCGAGCATGGGGAGCAGGGCGTCCAGACTCCACTCTCTTGCGAAAAGCAAACCTGGTACCGTAGGACAGCTGTTCGGGTTCCTGGACTCATCCTGCCCTTGTAGAGCTGGGCAAAACGATTTCGATTTCGGGATCGAAATGATCGCTGCAACTATTCAGAGTGACCCTAAAACTACGCCCTTCCTCACGGGGCATAGCCTGGATCCGCTGCTCCAGGCCGCTGTGGCTCCACACGAGGAAAGGAGTGAAATGACTTGTTTGCATCGTCCTCCTGTTCTGACAGTGAGGAACGCAGCAATGATCCTGAGAAGGCATCCTGAAGTCGTAAAAAGGAAGACGTCTGAACAAAAACAAAACAGCTCAAATCAAAAGTCCTTGTGACATTTTTTGTAGACAGGCTTGCACTGCATGTAGATTTCGCGTGCTCTGCACTTCGCATGCGAGAAGTCGCGCACGGCCGAGGTGAGGTTGGTCGCGTGTGTGCAGCAGGATCCCACGCGACTGCGGAGTTGCCCCCTTGCTCGAACCCAGACAATAATAAGGGGATCGGTCTATTTCAGAAATTTTCGGTGCTCAATATTTTCGGTATGAGGGCAACAGGCTAGGTTAGGTGAACAGAAATTTTCGGTACAGAGAAGCAGTTCCGTGTTAGTGTTTGTTCGGTGTATTGAAATTTTAGGTATGAAACAGACGCACCGAAAGTACCGAAAATAAAAGTACACCGAAAATTTCTGAAATTACAGTATTTAGAAGATTTGATTGTCTAAACAAATTGCATGGCAGGCGACCATATACATGTATGGAGTGGCCATATACATGACTGTATATGCTGCCCGCCATATGCTTGTGACCACTTATAGAGAGAACATGTATACAGTCAACTTCGCGTATAACGACTGCGGATATAACGACAATTCGCGAATAACGACATAATTTTCATGCCCAGAGCAGAGTCCCATAGTGGTCTCTGAACAATTTGACCATACATGTACGTGTATATAGAGCAATGACCACATATAGAGGATCGCTGTGCTACCGAGTCCTACATATAAAACCCACCAAGAACAAGGGACCGTGGAAGCCCCAAACCCACAGGAGAATGTACATGACGTGTACTATTGTAGTGTGGCACATGAAAAGAAGAATATTACTATCCATCGGCACTCCGCCGATTGCAGGAGATTGGAACCCACCAGGCTAGCATCCAGCAACCAAAGGTGAACTTACAAATATCGATCAGGAAAACAAGACCGAAAGAACTCCACTCCCCACCCCACAGAAGAAGCAGAAAACAAGGACACCGTTATTAACTGCTAGTGGTAACATTAGTAACAGAGGTCGCAGACGGATATAATTTTAAACGACGGTAAGATCGCAAGCGTCCACGCATTTTCACACATCAAGCCAAAAAAATGCTTTTCATTTCGTATCGAACGTGTTCGTTCCCTCCTATTCAAGAATGGTAGAATTGATCAAGTGGGAGAAGACGACTCATTATAGCTTTAAAGATAATAAGATAACAAGTCCCACCACAAGGTGATAGTTTATCAAGTTCCGAACGACAGAAACTTCAAAGGAATAATTATAAAGATAACAATGACAACAACGTAGTGAGCAAATTTTGCAATAATTGCTCTCTTCGACGAGGAGTAACGCCAAACAACACATGTTCACAAACCTTAATGCACACACACACACAGACACACACACACCAACACACACCAACACACACACACACACACACACACACCAACACACACCAACACACACACACACACACACACACACACACACACACACACACACACACACACACACACACAAACACACTAACTTATATCTTTTATAGATAAATACTTCCTCACAGCTTCGAGAAGGTGTTACCCACCACTCTCTCTCTCTCTCTGTCTCTCTCTCTCTCTCTCTCTCTCTAGCGAGCGTGCCCGTTCGCCACACACACACACACACACACACACACACACACACACACACACACACACACACACACACGCGTACACACACGCCTGTCCTGTCCTGTCTTGTAGAGCCACTGCCACAGGGGTCACATGGGCCCCAGAGGGGTATCAGACAGGAAGATGGAGCACGCAGCCTGATGACGCCGGAGATGGTGGAGCAAACGGAACCGGCGAGAACACACGCATACATGACGGAACGAATTACGCTGCTGGGCAGTCGGGCAGCGGGCCAGTCCTCGAGCACCGGTGACGACCGCGGCCTTGCACAGTCCGAAAGCAGCGGGCACACACAGCACAGTGCGCAGCATAGCAGGCATCCTGCACATAGACTTGCCGGGGCTCGGGAGGCTGAGGTGCGGAAAAGCAGTGAACAGCTAGACCTCCCTTGCTTCGAAACCAACGCCCACAATCTCCACAGTGGCAAGCCCCTCGCTGCTCAGCAATCGGCTTTGCCCGCTCAACCACACATTTGTGCCCACATGTACACACACCACCATACCTACATAATTATCACAGTACGCGAATAAACCGCGCATGCACTCACCCACCCAAACGCACACACACGCACCTCTCGGATTCTCCATCGGGCTCTGTCAGTTACGTGCAAGTCTGTGAAAAGCTGGTCTTAGATTTCAGCAGTTCGCCAAAGTTTACACCTTGTGCGTTGCGTTTACAGTCAAGCCAGCCGTACGGTTGCCGAGATAGTGAAGTTTGTATTTGCTTTCTAACGGCTGTGATGTTAGAGTCGATACTGAAATCGGAGAAGTCTCCTTCAGAAAGGCACTGGTTGACAAACATGATAGCATCATCCCACATCAGCTCATTGCGCGGATACTTGTAGTTATGCACCTGCGTCTTGCGATCGACCACTATTTCATTGTAACTGGCACAGTATTCAGGGCCAATAACCGAGATGTACATGTTTAGAATGTAAGCAGATAGCCACCAATTTGTTTTATCGAAATGTGTGGTGTATGGCTCCAGAAAACGATTTGCTGAGCGATGATATGCCATTACCAAGTGGTCCGCCTGACATCGGCTCTGGCAACGCAGATTTTTCTTGTTCCAGTCAAATTCGTTGAAGCTGACCCCCGCTTTCATGGGCCGATCTCGGAGAAGACGTTGCGCTGCGAGTTGTGGCCGGCTGCGCTGCGGGGTGTTCCACCTGTTGGCTGGTAGGTGACTTCAACTTCAAGTTCAAGACCTCTCGCTGCTGCTGCCGCTGCCGATATTCCTCTTTTAGTCGACTCACCAGCCGGTCCTCCATCCCTTTGCCAAGCAACGTACTGGGAGAAAGTGCTCTCCAGCTAAGTGCACTCACCACGCAAAGAACGAAAATAGCGGCTTGCATGATCATTCTGGATCAGTTGCCTTGGGCCGCAAGTAGGACTAGGAACGACTACCGATAATCTGCTGGTACTGTAATCAATGGTAATACTAATACTACAGGCTGCTACTAATACTATACGCACTAGTTCAAACAAAATACAGAAAAGAACAAGAATAATGAATGATTTGTTTTACACGCCTCATTATTATTGATTTTTTTGGTCTTGTTTGCTGCGCGCAGCCTTTTTTCATTCGATCTTCGGATCAGAATCAGATCGTGATAATTTTATCCGGCCGGCTCTCCAGTGCAGTCCAGTCTCCAGTCTCGGCATCGCACTTCGCAGCATAGCTAGTACTGGTCTGTAGTGTAGCGGACATGGAAATCCAGTCGATTGACCGGGCCGGTGTTCTCAGCGCGTACAGAACGCTGCGTGCAGTGCACAGTTAGCATGGACCAGTCATTGTTGATCCGATGCGACCAGCGCTGCATGCAGCGCATAAATGCATGTGTGTACCACTTACTTATCCACAGCAGCATGGCCTGCGCCCTGGGGCCGCAGAGGCGCAGACGTACGTGCGACCGGATTTCCATGGCCACAACAAAGTTACATACATAATTATTGTATGGTGTAGTACTAGTACTAGTAGTAGTAGTCTACAGTGTAGAGAGATAATCTGATTTCGCACTGCCCAGCGGCGCCGGGTCCCGCGCTGACTTGACGCGTTCGAGGGTCACGTGCGCGCTCGGCAGCGGGGCTGAGCGAGCCTGACGTGATCGTGAGTGCAGGCGCTAGGCAACGACAGTCTAGTCTGCCGTGATGATTGGTCTCATCACCATGATCACAGTTGATGTGTCGTAGCAGCAGGAGCAGGAGGAGCAAGAGGAGCAGCAGCAAGAGGAGCAGCAGCTAGAGGAGCAGCAGCAAGAGGAGCAGCAGGAGGAGCAGCAGCAGGAGGAGCAGGAGCAGCCATAGCAGGAGCAGCCACAGCAGGAGCTGGAGCCCTTCCGACGGGACCACAGGCAACAGCAGGTTGTGGGGCAGCCGCCGCGGCAGCCAATTGAGCACGGGTTCCTCTCAGCGCCATTCTAGAAAGCAAAGGGAATAAAGAGAAATAGAAAAAGAAAGAAAAACGGACGGAGAGCAAATACCAAGGAACAGAAAACACTACCACTCGACGGAAGCGAGACTGGCAACTGAGGACGATCGCCAACTCCCCCCCCCCCCGTTTTAGCAGACCCAATACATTCCCGTACATTCCAGGCATCACCACAATCCCATATCCCGGGTAGACCTACGATGCAATCGATCGCACCCGGCGGCGCCCTCAGGATCGTTGCGCCGCATGCGGCGTAGAGTCCAGCGGATAATGCCCGCATCATATAGTATTATTATTTTAAATCGGATACTGAGCCAGTGTCAATAAATGTAAAAAAAGAGAAGAAACAGATGAGAACGAGTTATGCAGCAACTATCCACGACTGTAACAAGATGATGAACGGTCAGAAAGTGCGTTCGGTCCCACGTAACCATGAACGTTCCAAGTTGGAAGGCTGTTGGTTTGCGCACTGGAGATGTGTGGGGTAGTGCCTTTGCTGTTTGCATTACGCAGAGCTCACTGACTTGTCAGTTTGAGCACTCTGGCAAGGTACGTTCGGGCCTGATTGGAAATTTTTATTTTCATTGCTATCAGGTTCGGCCTCATTTCCTCTGTGCTGCGCTGATGAGTTCACAAAGAACGAAACAGCATGCTGTCCGCAGATTGAGTATTAGAACTACATGTACATGTAGATCTGGGGTCGCTGAATGTCTCAGTAGCCTGTCAGTTTTGTGCCATCTTATCGCACTTTCTGACAGTATAATCATCTTGTTACAGTCGTGGATACATGTAGTTGCTGCATAACTCGTTCTCATGTATTCCTTCTCTTTTTTTTAAACTTTATTATTGTGGATTCACAGGATTCACAGGAAGTGTGAGTTACGAAGTCTGAAGAAAATGTTGAACAGTCTCTGCTGGGATGACGACTACACCATAGCTCAGTGGTTAGAGCATCGCTAGCTACAAGCGAGGGTCCCTGGTTCGAGTCCTGGTGGTGACAGTCAATTTTTTCTTCAGACTTTTCCCGTTTATGTCTTTCCCTCAAACTAGTCAAGATATTATTATTCTATTCGGCATTATGAGACTACCTGAGCATTAGAGCATTAGACAGGAACAAGACAAGCATTATGTGAGGTTTGAGCGGCATAACGAGTTTCATAGGGGAATGTCTGGAAATTTCAGGTTTTTGGCTAAGCCATAAGTTATTAGGTGCAACGCCATGATTGTATTGCACCGGTACATGACTTTGTGATTTTGTAGACACGTAACACCTTTACTTTAGCGCTAATGCTACATTTACCTGACTACATACATGTAATGCCGTTGCTACATAAAGTCTGTATGTAGCAGGGAGTAGTAAAATACGTATTTACTACTCCCTGGTATGTAGCAATGTAGTCAGGTAAATGTACCGTAAAATCCCGCCAGAGTCTCTCCCATCCGCCCCTCCCTGACTTCTTGTCAGGGTGATTGATTGATTGATTGTATCCTCGTACGAGTATGACTCTGTCGCAGTCTGTGATGCCGTACTGAACTGCAGACGCGTGCTCGACCCCGTTGGAAATGTACGCAACAGTGCCCACCCTCCTGACCAGGGATCGCACAAACCCTGCGTTTTGTCGGGTCTGTTCGACCCCTGGCTCTTGACCTTTGGTCGGTGTACGAGATGCACGTAAAGTTTTCGTAGGGTGAGTACTTTTTCATGTAGCACTGAATGCGGCAAGTAGGACTCGCCCATCCGCCCCTCCCCACCTGAAGCGTCGAGGAGGTAGGGGCGCTCTGGCGAGATTTTACGGTATCTCTAGCGATACTGAAGTAAACACTGATCCATTGATAAATTTGGACCTAGATGAAGGAGCGGCTATAAACAGAAAGAGCTTGTTCCGAATAACTGCCTTTGCCGATCAGCAGGCTCGAAAAGAACTAGATATTCTCATGGACGCAGTACCAAGTCGATTGGAGTGCTCAGCACGACAGCAGCGCGTGTCTTACTTTCCTGGTGAAGCACGTACAGTTAGTCGTGGATGATTGTAAGGCAAGGCCTACAGTCAAGTGCTATCAAAAAAGAAGAGTATTGTGGCCCGGGGTTTGAACCATTTGTCTCGGCCACGCAACCTCTGCATATCTGGAGAAGAAGACAGCCAGCGGCAAGCAGAGGATGTAGAGCGGCAAAATAACTTCTGACCACGTGTTTTCAGGATTCCTGCAAATGGGAGGGATCTCGATCTGAGATCGTCTCTCAGGAACTGGCCTCATGTGAGCTGTTTCAGATGAAAACATTTTTCACAGAGTGGAAGCAGTGACATCTTTTCTGCAGGCAGGAATACCACTTCCCATGATAAGCTCCCAGCATCCAAATGATCACCAGCAATATTTTATTATTTTTTTAGTGTTTATTTGAATTCGGATAGCTCAACAGTACCGAAGTACAACTACAAAGAGTACCGAATAGAAGGCCCCGAGAACGGGAAACCAAAAAAAACAAAAAACAAAAACAGCAACATCAATTTACTGATTATGCACATTGCTTGAAAGCAAATCACAACAATGATTTCCACGGGTACTCGATCGGGTGATGTTTCCATGATGTTTCCATAGTAACACCACAATGCACCCCTTCCCTTACACACTGGGTAGACAATATACTAGACATGCAGGGTATGGTATCACATGAATTTGTACACATGCACTGTACATGATGTCATCTGCGACTTCGCGTTTTCAGGTACTATTCTGCACCCAACTGCCCGAGGTCCTCATGGGCAGCAGGGGTACCCGACTACGCAAGGTCCTCATGTGTAGCATGGGTACCCAACTGCCAGTGCACACCCCTAATTATTAACTGTTCGTAGTAACGTTAGTAACAGAGGTCGCAGACGGATATCATTTTAAATGAAGGTAAGATCGCGAGCGTCCACGCATTTCACACATGCAGCCAAGAAGACGCTTCTTATTCGGTGTTGAATGTGTTCGTTCCCTCCTCTTCAAGAATCGTAGAATTGATCAAGTGGGAGAAGGATACGACTCATATAGCGTAAAGATAAAAAAAAAAGATAACAACTCCCACCAAAAGGTGATAATTTATCAAGTTCAGAATGCCACAAACTTCAAAGGAAGTAAAACAACGTAGTGAGCAAATTTTGCAATAATTGCTCTCTTCGACGAGGAGTAACGCCAAACAACACATGTTCACAAACCTTAATGCACAGGCACACACACACCAACACACACACACACCAACACACACACACACCAACACACACACACACACACAGGCACACACACACACACACACACACACACACACACACACACACACCAACACACACACACACAGGCACACACACACACACACACACACACACACACACACACACACACACACCTTTTGGACCTTTTGACGTCCATCGCCGGAGGCGATGCTACAGCAGAAGCCATAGCAGCTTGTGCTGAGATTGCACCATTCAACAGCTTGCAAGACTGAAGAATAGACCACCGCTATTCAGCCTCGTACACCACACAGCTATGAAGTGGCTTTTTCTGGCCAGTGAATCCCGATTTTTTGTCTTTTGTTGGTAACCGCCCAGAATCCTAGGAGAATGATAGAAAGTCAAGAGGAGTCTGAGAAAGAGAAGAAAGACGTGTGACCATAATCGTCGGGAATCCAACCAGCAACCTCTCGATTAGAAATCGCTGCACATGCCACTGCACCATATGGGACAAACACATACACGCACACACACACACGCACCTCAGACCTCAGACATGCCCATCGCGGAAGCGATGATAGCGAACAGCTACATGTATGTTAGACATAGCAACTTGTGCTGGGATTACACCATTCAACAGCTTGCAAGGCTGATGAATTGACCGCCACTATTTTTAGCCTGGTATCCACCACACAGCTGTTTGAAGTGACTTTTTCTGGCCAGTGAATCCCTATTTTTCATTTTTCCCATTTTTTCTACACACACCACACCACATACTCCGGCATACACTGGCTGTTGGTAACCACCCAGGAGAATGAAAGAAAAGTCAGGAAGAGTCCGAGAAAGAGAAGAAAGCCGTGTGCGACCATAATCGTCGGGAATTGAACCCGCAACCTCTCGATTGGAAATCGACTGCACATACCACTCCACCATATGGGACACACATACACACACACACACACACACACACACACACACACACACACACACACACACACACACACACACACACACACTAACACACTAACTTAATCTTTTTAAAGATATAATAATACTTCCTCACAGCTTCGAGAGAATTCAAATAACAAAGTACTGTAAAAGCAGAAATTTTCAGTGGTGTAATATTTTCAGTATTCTCCAAAATCGGCGGTTCGGTGGAGGGAAATTTTCGGTAAAACCAGTTTTCCAGGTAAGTGTACTAGTACTACATGTATACAGTTCCGGTTGTAACGAAATTTTCAGTGCGTTTTATTTTCGGTCAAAATTGTCGGCACCGAAGTTACCGAAAATAAAACACCACCGAAAAGTTCTGCTTTTACAGTAATACAAAAGGTGTTACCCACCACTCTCTCTTTCTCTCTCTCTCTCTTGCGCGTGCGCACGAGCGCCCGCTCGCCAGTGCGTGTACACACACATACACACACACACACAAACACACACACACACACACACACACACACACACACACACACACCACCCTACCTACATATCACAGTACGCAAATAAACCGCACGTACACCCACCCACACACGCACACGTACCTCTCGGATTCTCTATCGGGCTCTATCATTTACCTGCAAGTCTGTGGAAAGCTGGTCTTAGATTTCAGCAGTTCGCCAAAGTTTACACCTTGTGCGTTGCGTTTACAGTCAGGCCAGCCGTACGGTTCCCGAGATAGTGAAGTTTGTATTTGCTTTCTAACGGCTGTGATTTTAGAGTCGATACTGAAATCGGAGAAGTTTCCTTCAGAAAGGCACTGGTTGACAAACATGATAGCATCATCCCACATCAGCTCATTGCGCGGATACTTGTAGTTATGCACCTGCGTCTTGCGATCGACCACTATTTCATTGTAACTGGCACAGTATTCAGGGCCAATAACCGAGATGTACATGTTTAGAATGTAAGCAGACAGCCACCAATTCGTTTTATCGAAGTGTGTGGTGTATGGCTCCAGAAAACGATTTGCTGAGCGATGATACGCCATTACCAAGTTGTCCGCCTGACATCGGCTCTGGCAACGCAGATTTTTCTTGTTCCAGTCAAATTCGTTGAAGCTGACCCCCGCTTTCATGGGCCGATCTCGGAGAAGCACTTCGTTGAACTTGTGCAATGCTGTGTCGTCATTCGGGAAATCCAACACAACTTTCGTGGGGTTCTCCGGCGTGCGATACCCCAGTAATACGTCCTCGTCAAAAAAGACGAAATACTCGAAGCGCCATTTCTGCTCGAGTTCCCACTGATGTCCAAGCTTTGCCATGTGGTTACGCGACGAAGTCCATGTCGACTTAGCATAGAATACGTATCGAAACGTTTCTGAGACGTGCCCCTGGAGCTGTACAGTCACGTCAGATTTCCAGCTTACGTAGAGCAGGTATACGTCTGTCCAGCTCGCTCGATCCAACCACCGTTTCTGAGGCTCGCCCTCGCCTAATACCATATAGAGGAAGGTGCCCAGACGAATCCCCGTCTTCTCATCCACAAGTACAGTGGGAGCTGTGATGATTTTCTTCTTTGGTGCAGCTGATGAAGAGGCAGAGGCTGAGGTGATTGACAGGGTCTGGTTATATCTCTGTGTCACGGCATGTGCTGGCTTTGATGTAACTACAGGAGTACTTCGGAGAGAGGTACTGCCCTGCATTGTGGTCTTCGCTACTGATCTGGCTCGCTGAGGCATGCTTCGGACTGCTGACGTTGCGCTGCGTGTTGTGGCCGGCTGCGGTGCGGAGTGTTCCACCCGTTGGCTGGTAGGTGACTGCAAGATCTCTCGCTGCTGCTGCCGATATTCCTCTTTCAGCCGACTCCCCACCTCGTCGTCCAGCGCTTTGTCAAGCAACCTGGACGTACTGGGAGAAATTGCTCTCCAGCTCAGTGCACTCACTATGCAGAGCGCGAACATAGCTATGGTGGCTCTGCAATTGAAATTGCATGTACACAGATTCCGAAATCGTGGCATGATCATTCTGAATCATTTGGGTGGCAAGTAGGAATGACTAATCTGCTAGTACTGTAATGGTATCATCATCTTTCCATTTTTCACCCTCTATACTCCCCCCGGCGAATCGGCATATGGATGTCTGGAATCGAAGCTATTCGATCTGAGCGACCCTCCGCAGCTACTAATACTAAAATAGCAATAATTCAAGGAAAATATTTTTGTTCTTGTTTGAATGCATGCGGGCGGCCTTTTTCATTCATCTTTCGGATCAGTTGTATCAGGTACTCCTACTACGAGTCCTAGGTGGTGTGACAAAAGCCGGCCGCCATGACCATGATGACTCAACGCAGCCCAAGACATTTTGTCGGACATGGCGAAACATCCATATTTGCAAGAGTTCATGCCCCCCCCTCCCCGCCGGGGGGTTATGCACTCTTGATACCGTTATCCCTAATATAAGCACAGTCTCCAATAATAGAACACCTTGGGGCGGCATTCAAAAAAATAAAGTGCTCAGTCTCATATCACACTGTGTACCAGCGAAAAAAACCCGGAAATGTGTGTGTCTGAGATATTAAATACGAGCCGTCAGATGCGAAAACCGACCACGTCGGACTCTTTCAGCTTTTCGGCCATCCACCTGTACCGCTCTGTGTCCCTCTTCATTCTTTTGTCAAAGCGAGTCTTCACTTCAACGTACAACTGCAGCAGTAGCTGCTCTGATTCAATTGTCCACTTCATTATCGAAAGTGAAATCAAACAGCAATAAAAATCGCTCACTATGTCCGAGTGTCGCAGGAGCGGAACTTCCGCAGGATCGAGCATCCGCTCCGAAAATTTTGGGGTACGAGCGGATTTGAATTTTCCGCCACGGCGGAAGTTCCGCTACTCGCAGTTTCTATGGTGATACACGCTGTTGCGACACCGCTGCATGCAGCGGATCCGCAACTCTCAAGTGCTATGTGTGTGGGACTGCACAGTGCAGAAAAATGCACTTGAAAGATTGAATGATCCGCGTAGCTCGGGACGATGGGACACTTGGCCGTGGTCTTTTGTTCTGCATGCAGTCTGAACCAACGCATATGGCCGATTGGTTTGCAGGCCTGCCTGCGAATCATGAGGTCCCGAGTTCAAGACCCGCGCTGGTAGTGGTAGCAGGGAGCGTGTAGACTTTTTACGCGTGCTGAACTGCGCCGACACCCAGGGTACTCACAGCTCGGAGTGAGAATAACAAGGATGACATGAATGAGGATGGAGAATAACAAGGATGCATGTCACACATGCACTTTTTTTGGCGGTTCCGCCAAAGCGTAACTTACGCTTCCGCCGTTGCCTCGGCAACGGCGGAGGCGTAAGTTACGCTTTGGCGGAAAGTTTGGATTTCGCTACGCCAAAAAAATGCGAGCGGAACCTCCGCTTTCGCGGATCCGCTTTGACGGAACCTGCATGGTGAATCTTGGTGATGGCTTTGGAGTTTGGTGTGCTACTTCTGCACTGAGTTCTGGTGTTGTTTGGTTGCCGTTTGGTATTCAGTTTTCATATTGTTCTTCTTTGCCAATGAACTGTACGTTCTGGAGATCTCGCAAACGATACTGCATCGTTATGAGTGGATAGTGGTGAGAGAATCCCTCTCCGAACTCATTGGCCCCGATCGCGGAAGATCTCCAACTCTCTCCAAGCAATGCGTCCACGAGTATGCAACACTAGGACTGCAACCAGGGAGTAGTAGAGTACTCTGCCACACACTCACTGCAACTGCAGGCATCCACGCCGTCGCTGGGGTCGATGATGGATCATGGAGGAGGCAACGACACCCATGCTATACAACTATTTGAATTTGATATTGATGTAAACTAAACTAATATTCAAATACACCCGTACTGGGCCGCCTGTGAATGTGCCCCAAATCCACAAGTGTACTTGACAGGAGACATTCAGCAGCCTGTCAGCGATCCACGATAGCTCTACTTGTACAAGCGAAGGTCGCTAGCGCTTCAACTCGGACAATAATAACATCATTCTAAAATTTCATAGGACGTGCTGCATTTGCATTCCCTCCGCCAAAGCGGAGCGTTGAGGAACGCAGTACCAGTACTAGGCAGTAGTCTCCCTGTATGTGTGACCGCTGCATCGTGTGTTCCGCCAAAGCGGCTGCGGTAGCTACGCTTTTCGCCTCCGCAAAAGCGGTGCAGAGGTAACTGGTTTCATGTGTGACCGCGGCCTACAAAAAGTAGTTACGCTTTGGCGGAAAGTTTGGATTTCGCTACGCCAAAAAACTGCGAGCGGACCCTCCGCTTTGGCGGAACCTGCATGGTGATGGCTTTGGAGTTTGGTGTGCTACTTCTGCACTGAGTTCTGGTTTTGTTTGGTTGCCGTTTGGTATTCAGTTTTCATATTGTTCTTCTTTGCCAATGAACTGTACGTTCTGGAGATCTCGCAAGCAATACTGCATCGTTTAAGTTGGTGAGGGAATAACTCCGAATCCGTCTCCCAACGAGTCATTGGCCCCGATCGCGGACGATCTCCAACTCTCTCCTTCTCTCTCCAAGCAATACGTCCACCAGAGTATGCAACACTAGGACTGCAACCAGGGAGTAGTAGAGTACTCTGCCACACCCTCACTGCAGCTGCAGGCATCCACGCAGTCGCTGGGTCGATGATGGATCATGGAGGAGGCAACGACACCCTGCTATAAAACTATTTGAATTTGATATTGATGTAAACTAAACTAATAAGTAATATTCAACCATGATGGCGTCAAAGACAGTTAAGGATTTTGTTGGTCGTGTGTCGGGGGCATTGTCCCCGCCGAAACTGAATGCAAGCTTAAGAAAGAGAAGGTCTAGTGAGTTAGAATCAGAAGTGTCCTGTGGGTCTAGCCCTCAGCCCCTCTGCGGCAAGCGTAAGCCTGAAAGTCCGACGGAAAGTCTGCACTGCATTTCGGACGCGAGCACTGATATCACCTGCAGTCAGTCAGGCGCGCCGAAAGTGGTCCGCAAATTGGGCAGCGCTCCTGTAACAGCTAGCGCAAACGACTGTGCGCACCAGGATCTGGTGGCGAACCTACAAGTGCTCTTCGCAGACTTCAAGCAAGAAATTCGTGCAGACCTCACGACGATCGGAAAAGAACTGGTCCAGGCTCTAGACAAACGCCTCACAGCCGCCGAGAAGCTCATCGCGGAGCACGCTATCGAGCTCAACCGTCTCAATGCCGAGACACGCAAACTGAAAGGCCTTGTTGAGAGACAGGTACAGAATGTATCAAAAATAGATGATGGAGCTCGTTCCGCCATTACGGAACTTGAGAAGAAGCTGGATGACGTGACGTCTAGACAGCCAGACGCCACCACTGATACCCAACAGCAACAAATGGCAGGTACTGCCAAAATCGGCACAGCGAATGTCTCCCTCATACGGGACCTGGTGGAAGAGGCCAGTGAACAGCGAAGACGTGCTGATAATGTGATCCTGCGCGGGATCACGGAGAACACAGGTGAAGACCTAAAACGTACTGTTGCTCACCTGGTGCCGGATTTGGATACCAGTGATATCCTCTCGGCGGAGCGCATCACTCCAAGACGCCAAACGGAGCAGTCGCGCCTGGTGCGCGCCACCCTCACCAGCCATGGCAAAGCTAAACTGATGCGCAACAAGACAAGGGCCAAGCACCATGATGTAAATGTGTACGTGTCACACGACCTGACCAGGGGAGAACAGGAACGCCGACGTGCTTTGGTACCCCAGTACAAGGCCCTGCGCTCTAAAGGCATTATATGCCATCTACCAAAGGACACAATAACCCAGAACGGTAAGAGCCTCACCCCCAGTGAAGTTGAAGGTCTCCTAAAAGACCAATAGGATATTGCTAGGGTACCCCAGCCTCCCACCTCATGCATTGTAACTGCTCCCACCTCATGCTTTGTAATTGCGCACATCAACATTTGTAGTCTTTTTAGTAAATTGAATTACGTTTCCTCCCTATTGCATAAGTATAACATTGATGTCCTTGGTGTTACGGAGACGTGGCTGTCTGATGCTGTAACTGACAATTGTATACACCTGCCTGGATATGATCTCCATCGCTTAGACCGATCATGCAAGAAAGGCGGAGGAGTATGCATTTATGTTCGTGACGAATTCAAGAGCAGAATGATTAGTCTTACCCATGACACTGAAGCACTCTCTGTCCACATTTCCCTACCACAACATCCACTGACAGTCATCTGTGCATATCGCCCTCCTACACAGACAGTCAATTTCTGGCAGAAGCTCACCGAAATGACAGATGACACACTTCAGTCTTCACCACCAAAGTCTACTCTTATTGTGGTTGGTGATTTCAATGTCAATGTGCAAGACAGGCAACATCCACATTACCACCATCTGGAAACATATTGTCATGATCTAGGCCTCCGTAACATAGTCAATGCACCAACGAGATTTCCCAGCCAATCCACTCTAGACTTAGTCCTAGTACCGAATACATTGCAATACATCTCACCTAATAGTCAAGCACACACCGACCTCTATCTCCATACCTGCTCAGTAGAACCGTGCGACGTGTCCGACCACCAACTTGTAACTGTACAACTATGCACCTCCTCACTACCAATCGTACGCTCCCAACATCACTTCTACACTCGCAAACCACCCATTCGTACGCTACCTATTTGTGAATTCCAGACAAGTGTAGCTCAACAACTGGACAGTTTACAAACTCACAACGATGATCTCCAGAGCTTGCAGGACAAGATCACTTCTTCACTAGACCAATACTGCCCGTTGGTACAAGTACGTGCTACCAGGAAACAGATGCCGCAACCCTGGGTCGATGATGAACTCCGTCAACTGCTTTTCCGAAGAAAACGTGCCCACCGTGCCATGATCAAACACCCAGACTGTGCACGTCTTGTCCAGAACTTCAGAGGCCTTAGACGGCAATGTAAATTGCTTACTAAGAAAAAGCGCTCTGCGTTTTTCCAGCAACAACTGCATGACCATCGACGCAATCCACGTGCCCAGTGGTTCATTCTCAACACTTTACTTGGAAGGAAGAAGATCTCGCAAAATCCTGCTGCAAGTCTGCACGATATCACAACTACGTTTGCCAAGGTCATTACAGACCCTTCACTCAATTCACAAATCCCTCTGACAGTTCCACATGGGCCACTGCCTCTACACTCTTTCTCGGAGTTCACCGC